GGTGGCGCACACCATCTCAGCATGTTCTCTACTTTCTCTCAGCCTAAAAACATAAAACCTGTTATTAGCAGAGATTACAGGAGATTACAGGATGAAAACACGCAAGGCTTCTCATGGTTCTGACAAAATTTGGGACAATTCTGCTGTGGGATTTGCTATTGTTTTTAGAAATAATGGGAGGAAATAATGACTTGTCTTCTTTGTTTTTTATTTTTTTAAACCATCACCTTCAAGAAATTCAACTTATAGCAACAGTGTGCTTCATCTCATCACAGGGCTTTATGAAGCTCAGGTCAAAGTGTGGCCAATCCACATCTGCAGAAACATTTCAGTTTCAACATAAAAAAAAAAGTTTAAAAAGAACAACTCTACATTCACCAGAAGCAGCTGACCTGTGATTTGGCCAATCTTTGGTCATGTTATCTGCAACAGCTAAAAACACTTGCAAAGCCCCTGATAATTGTATATACTTCAGATAGCAGCAGCAGTAGAAATTTAAAAAAAAGCCATTCAATGGCAAGCACAGGGCTACTTAGTGCTTTCCACAGACACCTCTGAACAGCTGCACTTTTTTGTTCAGAAGGGAAAGTGAGGAAGCAAGGCCTTCCTTTGAAGCAAGATGCTCTTGATTGGCAGGCGGCAGCCCTGGTGCAGGCTTTCAGGGCAAGTTTGTTTGCAGTGCACGAAGGAACAGTTGGACAACTCATACAAGTTTTATAAAAAAGAATTTTTAACTTTCATTAGCACAAGTTGAACAGCTGAGTCAATAATGAGAATAGCCTTCAAGCTTTGTGATTTCCTAGAGAACAAGATAGGAAAAATTTTGAACTAAAAGAACTGTGGGGATTTTCAAATGAAGTACACATTGTTCCTTTTATGGCAAAGGCATTGTTCACTCGCTGGTCCTGAAACTGTACAAATAAGGATGTGGTGGGGGTTTCCATACAAATAAACATGGAAAAAAGGTTCAACATTTGGCATGTCCCCCACATTCCTAAGTACTGTGTCTCTAGCCCACTGGGCACTTAAACTCAGATAGATGAAAGAAGGGTAAGTTATGGATGAAGAACAAACATAGCCAAGGGACTTTGATCCCAAAAGCTTGCAGAAAAGGACAATTTTCTTGCCAATTTCCAGTTGCTCTAATAAAAGGTATCATTTTGGAACCAAGAGTTCTAGTTTTTTGTATATAAACATAGCCAAGGTGTTTTGGGAGGAAGTATCATGCTTTTCTTGTTAATGACACATTCTGCTACATATTCTAAAGCCTTACCTTTCCTTGAAAGTAGGAATAATTTAGCAAGCAGGAAGAGAAAAGGTGGTCCAGTTGTTTAGGCACTAGCCTAGGACCCAAGGTGCAATTTTAACTTTTCTGCCATAGGTCACACAGGGAATCTTGGGCTGGCTGTAACACCTCAAGTTTCTAGTCTTCTAGGGATGTTGTGAAAATAAAGTTCACTAAAGAGCGAGACACATTCAACTATTATGGTAGCTGGGGGGAAAGTATATAGCACTTTAGATTGTTAGCATGGTGTCATTAATGCAGAACTACACTCCCATGCAGCTCCTGTCCTACTCTCAGAGTCCTACTTCATTCTCTTATGCACAATGTCATTGCACCCAAAGTGAAGGTAAAATCCAAATGTGAAGCCAGAGCTGCATGTGAAAAAGATTGAGCTACAAAATCCTAGATCAGCCACATTCTCCCTGTTTTCCACCCCATCTCCTCAAGCATCCACCCCAAAAAATCATAGAATCATAGAAAGTTAGGGTTGAACCACTTCCGGTGGCAGGCCATTCCAGACCTTGGGGGCTCGGACAGTAAAGAAGTTCTTCCTTATGTCCAGCCTGAAATGGTCTTGCAGGAATTTATAACCATTCAACCTTGTCATCTCTTGTGGGGCTCTGGTGAAAAAACATTCCCCCAGGTCCTGGTGAACACCCGTTATAAACTTATAGGTGGCCATCAGGTCACCCCTGAGCCTGGCTGCCCTCATCAGGTACCTGGCAGCTGCCGGCTCCAGGCCCTTATAGTGGCATGCACCCCCAGTGCCCTGCCACAGGCTGACTTGAAGGTGTCCAGCTTCTGAAGCTGTTCCTTCACAAGGTCAGCATTGATGGAGAGCAAGGAACCACCCTCGCTTAGAAGTCCTTGTCCCATAATGGGCAGGGGCGTCCCATGGGACTTGTGAAAGACTGACGCAAAGTACCCATTTAGTAAGTTGGCTTTTTTTCCTGGATGTCGGTCGTCCGTTCTCCCTTTTGGTTTAGCAGGGGTCCAATGTTGCCTTTGCTTTTCCTCCGGCTCCCCACATATCTAAAAAAGGACTTTTTATTGTCCTTGGTACTTGTGGCCAGTTGGAGTTCCATGATTTTTTCTAAGACCTTCCCCAGGATAGAGGTCAGGCTGATGGGCCTGTAGTTTGCTGGATCCACTTTCCTCCCTTGTTCATTTGACAAGCTTTAGTTGAAGTGTTCCTGCCACCATTTTGAAGTGCAGGGATACTATTACATGAGACACGGAAGGCATTTTAGCTTTCAGAGCCACACTAATTAAAGCACCCCTCTCCCCCACACAGAAAACACATAAAAATGCCCAATAATCCCAGTTCCCTCATCCTCTCCTCAGAAGTCATGTGCCCTAGTCCCCTAACCATTTTCATTGCCTTCTGCTGGACTCTCTCCAATTTGTCTACATCCTTTCTGCAGTGGGGGACCCAAAACTAGACACAGTACTCCAGATGTAGTCTCACCAATGCCAAATGCCTCTCAGGATGTGACAAAATAGAAAATGGCTCTGTGGGAAAGCAAGCAAGCAAGCAGAAAGGAACATATGCAGATTGATATGCACCATGGCTCATAAAATAGTCACTACTCACGTCTCTCCCCTTATAGGCAAGACCTGTCACTGGGCCATAATTTATTTTCGAGTTGGAATTCCCGCTGAAGACAGACTTTGCATATACATACTTTCCTACATTTACTGGTATGGATGCAGATCACATGGAGGAGAGGAGGGGTGGGGGTGTTGTGCATCTGTTGAAAACCCTTCTGCAGGCTTGAGAAGGATTGCATGCAAGCAGGATGAGTTGGCCAACTGGAAGTGAAGAACTTAGGAAACTTGTCTCACACCCAGAAATGTTCACGGAGCATTGCGCAGACCAGCATCCTCTAACATTGTTCTGAGAAATGTAAAAGTTCCCTCACTGTTCTATGAACCTGACCTAAGAGACTGAAAGAACATAGTGGACAGTAGGGAGCCAAGGACAGTAAGGGAAAGAAGTGTGGTGGATATATATTTTGGACCTGGGATCTCTACCCAGAGATCCTCATTGATCTGGCCATGTTATTTTGGTATTCTAGTATTTTGCCCAGTCATGCCCACTGCACCTTCTCCAAGTTCTTCTGAGACTACATCAGTAAGAGATAGCACAGTTCAACCAAGTGTCCTCAGAAATCATGAATCTTCCCAAATAAATTCTCCCCTTCCTTACACAGAAGACCCTCACCCCTTTTTTTTATCTATTTAGATATAGGATTCTAAGCTGCCAGATTCCTACTTTTATACATTAACAATGTTAATGGTATTGCCTCTTGCTATCAGTAGACTCAGACATTTCTTGTCACCTTGAATTTGAGCCAGTCTTTGAAGCAGAACAGGAAAGTCTCCCTCCAACTTCAGTTTTATATCAGGGTCTTACTCAAAGCCTATTAAAAGTCATGGGGAATCTTGGGCTCAGTGGGCTTTAGGTCTGCCTCACAGAGAATATCTAAAGTCTTTAGACCTGGCTATTTTTTATTAACATTCCCATTTTGAGATTATGTCTAACTAGGGCACAAGACAGACCTTATTTTGTCATGTTGGCTGAATTTCCTCAATAAATGTACCATAATAAACCTACTAAGAATTAGTGGCTACTTATACATGTGGTCAGGTCAGAAGAAGGATCAGGTCAGGAGGAGGGAAGAGTTTTAATTAGAGCAGTTTCTGGACAGCTACACTAATTAAAGCACCTCACCGTCATATGTATTTAGTCCTCCATGAATGAAATTTAGATAAAGCATCCCATGGCCATTTTTAAGCCCATGGGGGCCTATATCCATGAGGGTGAGGCCACACTAGAGCATTCTAATTAGAACGCAGAGCAGACTTGATTAAATAAGTTTGCTCTGATGCGTTCTAATTAGAACATGAACCAGCACATGTATAGGCAGCCTGTATGTCTTACTGCTGCAAGTGCAAAGTGGAACAAGCTCAACAATTAATTTAATAAAATTACAAATGTAGCCTCTTGTGTTGGGGAATTAAACAGGAGCCTATACTGTTTTGGGTTTTTTTAAATCTGTTTTTTCTAGCACTGTTTCCATATAAATTTCAGCTGGTGAGTGAACTGGTTGTTCCAATGATTTATAACTCAATGTGATTTGATCAACCATATAATTCATGTGGTACAGATGTGCTGAATCTTTTTTTTAAACAGGAGAAAAATTAACACACTTTTAGTAGGAATTTTCAGACTTTGATAGGACTTATTCAGAGCTTGTAACCATTTTCATTAAAAAGAAAACAAAACAAAACAAAACAGCAAAACAAAAAATGAGCCTCTGAATGCTCATAAACAATCCCCACACAATTACCACAAATTGGAACACACTGAGCTCTGTATTTATATATATATATAAAAATATAAAATCTGGATTTGAAAAAGATCCACATCAAGAGAGAAACTGGAATGTATGTGTGTGTGTTTCATATATATAATATGACCCCCATGTCCCCTGGGATTGGCCACTTCAATGTCTCTATGGCTTAGTTTATCTACCAGTAAAATTGAGGAAGCATTTTCCCTAACCCACAGCAAAACTTAAATTCATTAATATCTGTAAATACATAGTATGATCATTAAAAAGGTGAAAAGTGGTTTTGTTTTACTTCAGAGGCAGAAGCAAGTATTTGGGGACATCAAATGGATTCGTTTCTTACTTGCACAATACTCTACCTTTCAGGTTGAATCCCTTAGGCATCAAACCAGTCACCTCCATTTCAGGGATCTCATCTTCTTCAGCATTGGAGAAGTTTGGTGGGAGGGCTCTTCGCCCATTCAGGCTAGCAGAGGGTGGCTTCTTCTGACTTGCTGGTTGAGACATTGTAAAAATGTTGCAATCCTCTAAAAGGAGGAAAGAGAGCAAGAGTAAAGGAAAATGAGTCAGAGTTGCATTTGTAATTAGAGTTGGAAAGAAATAACTGTATGAGATGCCAGTGAGCTACACCTTTTTTGGTCTCAAATAAATAAAAACCAAAAAGGCAAAAAACATTGGTCAAATGATGAAGCGCCTCAAGAAGTCTAATAACTCCTTGAGGCTTGGAAGGCATTCTGTATTTGTCAAAACACGTGAATAAGGGGAGGAAGCAAACCTAAACACAAAAGGATTTGTTTGAAAAAAACTCCAACATGAGTTCAAAACATTTGGGAGACTCCATATACCACAAAACTATAATCCCCAGAAAGGCTGAATGATGAATTAATAACTCTATAGACAGATTCTCATATATCCTCTCCCCAATAAAAAAAAAAAATGTTATACTGCAGCCATCTCTCCAAAGCACCACAGCTTATGTTAGGGTTTGTGATGGTTGCTCTAGTCTTTTGTCTAAACCTGTATACACACAAAATATGTAGGGAACTTTCCTCACAGACACTCAGACTCTGCCTTTCAGTATTCATGGAGGGGGGTGGGGAAATCTTCCTCCACTTATTTCTCCAGAATTAATTAATGGCAGAGAAACCTCCCATCTCTGATGATAAAACCATTTCTCTTTGAAGTAGTTTCAAGCTGATTTTGTGTCCATTTTTGGGAGGAAGGGGATAGCAAATGAAAGAAAGCCAACCTCCTGCTCAGAAAATACTCAACTTCTCCCAAATTCCCTTAACGCAACAGTTCAAAAACACAGAAATTATTCAATAGCACTAATTTCTTAAAGAAAAAACCATCAGTTAGCTATGGTACCTTTTGTTCAGATGCTCTTTTTCCTACTCCTTGCAGGCTTTCTCAAGTGCAGGGAAGTCTGGCAGTAGTTGGGGGCTCTTAAATAACAGTTGTAAGTCCCCCTTCCTCCCTCCCTCCCTCCCCCTGTCATAGGGCAGAGCTGGGATGGTTTCCCTTCCCTGGCAAACCCTCCCCACACCACCTCCAGGGATCAGCAAAAGCTGCTGAACCTTAGTCGTCTCTTTCTTCTTCCCTCCCCCTCCCCTGGACATATATATCTGGAATATTTCAGTACACACGTACTTGTGGAGGGAAGCTCTGTCAGGCTGCTGCACATAGATTTCTCAGTCCTTGGCTGCAGCTGAGCTGCAGAGAGTGGGGGTTGCTCCTCATTGCTAGCCCTCATCTTGGAGTTTCCTCATTACTGGTCAAAGTTGTCCCAGCTGCACAGCTACAGTGGCAGCTATGTCACCTGGGATCACCAGTATAAGGCATGGTGTGCCTCTTTTCCCTGCATCACACCCTCCATTTGTTCCCCTGGCCTGGGGCACAGAAGAAGCCTTGATGGTTTTGTGCTACTTAGGGATTCCCTCACATCGGGAAATAGGCAACTGAATAGCTGAGACTACAGAAGTGTTCAATAGGGGCCATAGTCGGATTGAGGATCTGGACTGCAGCATGGGTTATTTTTTCACCCAGCCATAAACTTAGGGCCAGATCCTTACGTGGTATAAATCCATATAACCAGTGTATACCACCTGAGGGCGTGGCCCTGCGTTTTCAAAATCTATATACATAAATGTTCCTATGTACTGAAATGGCATGCACGCAAATGTTCCCATGCACAATTCTGCAAGTACAAAATGAACAGTCATGCTGGTAAATCTAGCACTGTGTCCCTATAGTGAAAGGGATACAGCCATGGCATAGAATCATGCTTGACTGAAAATATATTAATGCCACTTGTTCTGAACAAGAACATAAGATACTGTAATATATTTGGATCTATCTTTTCCAGCGTGTTAACTGACTCCATGCATTAGACAGTGTTGTGCAAGAGCCCTGGGTTCTCCCCATCATTAGATAACTGTGTGGTTCTTTCATACAACAATAAGGGTGGGGGGGAGCCTGAAATATTTTCAACCCAAGCGCAAAAGGAACACCTTCAGCTACTTTTACTGCTTTCATTTTATTTCCTCAATAAATGTACCAAGTTGATGCTCTCCCTTTAAGAATATGTGTCCAGTAGCAAAGCATGCTGTAACCACCACAGTACAAATACAGCAGGACATCTTGGATACTGTGATTCCCTTCCACCAGCTGGAGGAGTAAAAGGACAGAAGAAATGTTTAAATTGAAGAGCAGCTGGTTAATATGATCAGCCCTCCTGGTCTTCATGTGCTTTTTCAAGCCAGAACCCTCCTATTTAGATCAGCAGAAGTTACCACACCCTCCGAAGGAGCTTTCCAGCAGATATTGGTGAAGAGACAGAAGCTAATTCCAGGAAGGCAACATCCAGTGAGCTGTGGGGGAGGCTGTGCCAGGTGTGGCCAAATGAAAGCATTAGAATTTCTTGTAATCTCTGAGTTTTCCATATGAAGTTAATATGTGGAGCCAGGTTTGGCAAGAATGTATAGTGAATCAAAGTTTTGCTTTACTTTAAAACTCCAGTGTTTAACTTGATAATGTAAAGCACACTAGCAGTGAATGTTCAAAAAACAAAACACTGCCAGTCCTTAACATAATAAAAGACCCCCTCACCTGGCATAAAGACTAGGAAAATGCCTGCTTATCCACTCTGAGGTTTATCCTCATCAGCATTAGGACCACAGCATAGGTAGGAGGTGCCGTGCACATGTACATGCACACGGCCACCAGGCAGCCTGGAGAGCAGCTCCCACAGGTAAGTGCAGAGGGAGAGGTTTGAGGCCCCCATAGAGAGGGAGTTGGGCAGGGCTGAGGCTGGGACTACTGGCCAGCTGGGCAGTGACTGGGGTTTGGAGCTCAGGGCTGCAATGTGCGGCCACAAGGCCCTGGAGCGGAGCAGGCAGCTCGTTGGGAGGATGTGGCTGGGGCTACCTCCCCACCATTGTGGACACTCCTGGTGGGGCTGTGGGGATCTGTGCCCCCCAGATATGTGCACAGGGTAGTGGTGAGGGCACGCTGCCTGCTACCCACTGCCGGCTCGGGCTCCTGTCTTTCTGCCCTTCCTCAGGGCCTCTGCAGCCCAGCTGGTGTGACTCAAGTGCTGCAGGGCAGAGTGAGGCCACACAGGAAAGCTGCTTGCAGCTGCAAGCTCTGTGCTACCCTGGCAATGTATCCCGCTGTGCCTGGCAGCAGTGAGGGGCACAACTCCACACCACCAACTCTGCTGCAGCTGGAGCAGAGGGACATGTTGCCAGGGCAGTGTGAAGCTTGCAGCGGCAAGCAACTTCCCTGCATGGCCTTGCTGTGTCCTGAAGCACCGGGTCACACCTGCCAGGCTGCAGAGGCCCCAGGGGAGGGCAGCAGGGTGGGAGCCCAAGCCTGCAGCAGGCAGCCTGTGCCTGCCCCTGGCCCTGCGCACAAATCTGGGGGGCATGGGTCCCCCCTGCCCCCTGGGAATGTGAGCGGCCATGAGGACCCACACCCCCCCTGTCCGAGCCCACAGCAGGCAGGCAGCAGGTAGGAAGCTGGGCTTTGCTGTGCTGCAGGAGCCACTGCCTCCTTCCAGGGGCCAGGGGGCTGCAGACTTGGGTCCTTGGCCCAATGGCTTGGCAGCTGGGGGCCCCTCTGGCAGAGATGGGAGAGCAGAGGCTGTGGATAGGGGGCAAGGGGCACCAGCAGAGCCAGGGGGTTGTGGTGTGGGGGAGTGAAGGCATAAGCAGGGCTAAGGTGGTTGTGGGGGGGAAGTGAAGGTGCAAGCAGGGCTGTGGGGGAGGAGTGACAGCCACAAGCAGGGCTCTGGGGGGCCTTTCATTTTAAACATGGTTTTGGGGATTTTTAATCAGAGAATTTGTGATTTTTTTATCAGGGAAAACCAGGATCCCCATTTATCAGGAATTACTCCATAAACCCATGGAGTTGCTGATATCAGAGCAAGAGTAGGATCAGATGTCCAGCCAGTGATTGCTACTTGGCAGCTGATTCAATAACATAAGATCACATGCATGACCTCAAGACTGAAAAAAAGCTATGCACTTACCTGGAGTATGCCTTTACCCTAGCTCAATGCTTGTTAGCTATAGAACCTGGCTGGTGTCTGGCCATGACCCCCACCCCTCCACTCAAGAGGTGAACAGGGGAAAAACCAGGCAGAGGCTACTTCACCCCTGCCAGGCAGACCCTAGCTGGGTTCTTTTGGGAGGTGTTTAAACCCCTCTCCCTTCCCTCTACCTCAGCCTACTGGCCTGGCTGGCATTTGGCCATGCCCCCCCCACCCCGTTGCTCACACATGGAGCAGGGAAAAAACTGGGGGGTTGCTCTGCTGCTGCCAGGCAGGCCCTAGTTGAGGTTTAGAACAAGGTTTCCCACTCCCACCCCTTTCTCAGCCAGCTGGAGCAGTAACAGTGCTCTGGCTAGGGAGGAGATGGGTGGGGCCAGCCCAGGGCTGCAAAGCATCCTGGGATACTGGGGGACTGTGAGTTGACGAACCAGGAAGGGGTCTGGGACAGAAGTTCTATAAACCAACTTGACTTAAATCAGTTAAGTCTGATACTACATCAAACCAGGTTTATCTTAAACCAGTTCTGGCCATTTTAAGTGGTTTAAGTGCAATGAACTTCTGTTCTGTTACAGGTTTAAACCAGTTTCTGATCACTTAAACTGGTTTATGTGAAACTTCTGTCCCTAGGCTAAGTGATCTGCAGACAGTGGGTGTTTGTGAGAATCTAAGCAATAGGCAAAAAGTTGGGACCTAGGTGGCATTATGCAGTTAAGCAAATTGCCCATTTATTTCATATGCATATGATGGGAGCAGGCTGCACATACATACACATGCACAAACTGGTTGGTGGAGATCACCCTTCACTAACAGCAGAATGTATGTAACCACTTAGTCACTGGCCTAGACTCCGAAGAGGCTTGCAATTGGCATTCAGCCCCATATAAAACAGTTCTGACAGACATTACTGTACCCTAAATTCAAACATAAAACCATCAAAACGTCTGATGGTTTTGTGCCATTTAAATCATGCCACAATTTATAATACTGGAAGGAGATCCTCTCTTAAATAATGCAGCTTGCCTGACCATCAAGAGCCAGCAAGTCATCCACAAGCAGGAAATTTCCAGCTTAGCGGACACAAAGCACTGATTGTCATTTTGCATCTGGTGTTCCATGTGAGGGTAAAATGCCACCTAACCCTAGTACTTTGCTCCTGTGCTCTAGTGGTGACACTTTACACTCACTTTGCATAGGTGTAAATGACAGCACAGACAACAAAAGGCAGACTCCCTTCTTCTGAGTGGTAATTTCCAAGTAATCAGTTTTATGCCTCCTTATATGAACAAGGGCATCACCCTAACAGGACTGAGAAACACAGGGTATCTTCTGGGGATAGCTGCTTTTTGTGCTTATTTGATGATTTCTACATACCATGTTTCAATTGTGCCTATCCTTTTTCATCCAGCATTTCAGTTCCCTGAATTGTGGCTGCTGTGATGATGTTACACAAGCTGATATAAACACTGCCTCTGTGCTGGGCCTGCTAGAGAACTGCAACACAAATAAAAAATTCAGTCTCCAGAGGAAGTCACATGTTTCCCAAAGTGGCTGCAGGGCTGTCAGGGCTGGGAGGAAAGCCTTCAGTCAGAGATAACAAGCAAGCGAGAGTACGTAGCAGAACAATCCTGTTCCATGTATAACGCTTAAACATCTGATGGTTGCAAATACCCCTCTGTGCCCATTCACATCTTTCTGGAAGCATCAGGGGAGCTTTTGCAGTGCCTGACAATGACATGGAAAGCAGGGAGACGTTCACAGCAACAGCCACAGCAGTGGGGTCTTGCATCCAGGGAGAGTAATGCTCCACAGACTGTAATTTATTTGTTTTGTGGGAATGGATGTAAATTCATGCTTATGACAGCTCCAGATGGCAGGTATTTTCTCATTACCTCAACTTCCTAGCGCTTGCTGTCCCT